AATTTAATACCTATACAGGGGAAACTTGGTATAGATATCAATCCCATTTTAGAAGCGGAACTTAGAAGGGATAAAGCCTCTTCAGATAAACCAATTAGATTATTTGATTTGCTTTTATCTTTAGAAGATGATATAGTGGTAATTCAGGATAAACTCGGTATTATTGGTTATTCTAATCAAGAAAGGGCAGAAGAAGTTGATGAGAATGTAAGAGCACAACTACAAAAGCTTGAGGAATTTCACGGTCCATTAGAAGATGATCCAGGTGTGATTTTACCGAAATATGGTGAAATGGGGGTAAAGAAAATTTGGTTTACTGGAGAGGGACTTCCTCTATTTCCAAATCTCACTCCTCAACAATTGCATGAAATTTTCGTAAAAAATTCAGCTAGCAACAATCAGTGCCCATGTCTAGAATCAAAAGTAAAGAAGGGAAAATTATCACAGAAATATATACGTCACAGCAAATAAAAATTCTTTGTCTGAAATTAGCTGGAGATTGTTGAATACCTGATTACCCGCTCTATTCTTCTATAGTTAGAATAATACGCACCCTGCGATATTATTTAATGATGTATAATATAACCGAAAAAAATAACTAATAATTAATTATCTGCCTAAAGCCCTTGCCACGATCGATGTAATCCTTGATCAATGGCTCGAGCGAGACTATTTAATAAATTAATTCGTTCTGGGTTAGTTGGACCCGACACTTCTCTGATATAATCCCTGAATGTAGAAATTGGAATAAATCAGAAACTGAGAAATCATCATCGGAATAATCAGGATATTCGATTTTAATTTTAGGATTAAGTTTTTTCATCGCTTCTTCGCTAATCCCTTTACACCCCTCCAAACTAAGATATTTCAAATTAGTACAGTTGCGGGCTATTTCCTCGACAGCTTTATTACCGATCGAACAATCACCAAGCTCAACATGTCTAAGTTTTGGGCACGAGCGAGTAATTTCAGTGATACATCGATTAGTGAGGCATATACATGAATTAAAACTCAGATGTAATAGCTTTGGGCAATATCTTGCAATTTCTATAATTGGTATATTAGTGAAACCATCACTTCGATCAAGAATGAGAGTGCTTATATCTGGGCATGAGCGTAATATTGCACTAATCAACGCATCTTTGATTTTTAAACCTTCCAATCTGAGATATACTATCTTGGAGCAATATGCTGGCTTTGTCTTTCCACACATGACTTTTTTAAAGTTTATCAATTGCCGAGTAAGAGCTCGAGGCATTTTTCGACCGTACAGACCTCTCTGATAATCTTTTTCTGTAAAAAACTCAATGCGACGCCATAGAATAGGAGCACCGCAGTGATACCAAAACCGATTAACAAACAAAGCGGGATAGAGGGATCGATCGATTTCTAAAAAATATAAGATCTGTTCTAGCAATTCTGGTAAATCAAAAATATTTAGACCCTTTGGGGAATCGGAGATTCGATGCTTTGCATCATCATTGCTCCGCAATAGTTG